CACAATTTATCAGACAATGCACACATAACCTCTATTATGTTCTCATGCATTTCCAATCAATACAAACAATATACACATCTCAAAACCTAGGATTCACGCCCGAAGGCTACCCACATCATATCACAATAGTACATAAACTATGTGATTAATCAAGCAATACACCATAGTCGAACCACACAATCAACCTATGGATAAATCTCAAATAAAACATCAACCTGTCATACTCGCTACTCCTTCGCTAAGCGAACTCCTAGCGAGTATTCGCTACTTGTTCGCCTAGCGAACGTGCTAGCGAATCTCAACAGAAGTTACTGACTTCATTCGCTACCTGCTCGCTACAACGAGCTTCCCAGCGAATCATTCGCTATCTCTTCGCTACACTTTCGCTACCAGCGAACAAACCAAAATCCATTATGTCCAAGTCTGGGACCATTCGCTACTTGTTTGCTGAGCGAGCTCCTAGCGAGCATTCGCGACCTGCTCGCCTAGCGAGCTGCTAGTGAGTGTCTGTGTATTTTGTTTCTCACTTACTGTTATCCAACTCAACCAACTCCAAAAACTCCAATCTCACCAATCCAATTCCAATACTCTTAGTCTAACATTTCTAGACTATTCTACATCATCTATTTCAGATTTTAACCGATTAAATTGAGTTCTACCGATTATTCCAACTTTTGCCCTAAATGGAAAAGGATGGAAACTACACCAAAACCTCAACCCAACATATATAACAACATGCAATGATCAAATAAAAGCATTTCTCACCCTTACCTCGATTAATCAGAGCTTTGATGTTGGTTCTTGATGATTTTCCACTTTCCTCTTCTTCTCCTCTCTTTCTCTTCTTCTTTCTTTCCAAATGTTTCTCTCTAACTTTCTTTTATTTTCCTTCTCTATTATATATTTCCTTTATTTTCCTTCCTTCCAATTTCCTTCTCAATTCTCTATTAATTCCAATTAATACAAATTAATTTCCAACATTAATAAAAATCCCACTAAATCAATTAATTACTATAATTAATTATTTAATGAAATTCGGGCTGTTACACAAGCAGCGTTTCAAGTTTGAGATTGTGATGCCAGTCAGTCATTACATGAAATTAGGCGAAGAATTAGAGAAAAACATGTGAAAGATGACCCAAAAGGAAGAAGGAAGAAGAATGAGGAAAAAGTAGCTAAGTGTGAAGAAATTGGATTTAGTAAAAAATCAGGTCAAGAAGGGAGCAAAAACGTGTAGCTACTAGAATAATCCCGCGCAACATCACGCGCCATATATATGTACTAGTTGCATCACACATACGATACATATATAATGCGCACAATGTTGCCTTTCTCTGGTTTTTTCCCGATGCGTTCTAAGCTTTTTTAAAGGGGAAATTCTGCACTTTTGTAAGGGTTACAATTTTGGAGATTGGAAGTACGACTTTTTCAACATCAAGGGTGATTTTGAGAGAATTATAAGCAATTGAAGGTCAATCCTTCAAGGGAATTCATATGTCTTTCTTCTTTATTCAATTGGTATTGTAATTTTCAATATGAGTAGCTAAGCTCCTCTATGTTAGGTTGTGTATGATGAACCTTTTTCAATATTGTTGGATTATATGTTGATTTGACTTTGTATGAACCCTTTGATCTATAAGTCTATGCAATTATCTCTTGTTCTTAAAGCTTTTATGTGAATACTCTTTTAAATTGATTTTGGGCACTATGGAATATCGACCCTTAGCCTATGTGTTGGACCTAGGACAATTATGATACTTATGCTGGTTGAATATGAATATGAGACCCCATGTTGTGGCATAAAGAATTAACGTTATGTGCATTTTCTAATTCTGCCTACGCTGGTGGACTAGTGATAGGAAGCTCTAAGTAGTGATTAGTGAGTTATTTCGCGAGGGATCGGTTATAATAACTTTGTTAATTCGTTATGGGACTATAGTGACAGGATCATTCATACAAGGCATCAGACATCAACAATAGAGAAATAGGGGATTCAATACACAACTTGACCGCTTTCGTAATTCTGTTTTAAAACTCTTATTTTATTTTTCACACTGCAAACTGAACCCCCTATTTTACTATTTTCTCTACATTGCACAAATATTGTCTTATTCAAACACAATCCCTGTGAATTTGATCTTAATTATTACTTTGACACTATTGGTACACTTGCCGAGAAGTCATAAAATACCTCATAATCAATTAAGTAAAAATGACTTCCCTTCGTCCCTTTGAGGGATGAGGTATTTATAGGGATTCCTCAAGGCTAGGGTTTATGAACCCCTCTAGACGTGGTCTCGTCCTCTTCCCTCATTTTTAGGGAGGTCGTTGATCAGCTATATCTTCCTTAACCCTCTGGTGAACGAACTGCGCGGGCGGCTCCAGTGTACTATGTCCGATCGAATTACTTATTATGTGATGGGCGCCATTGTACTACATGTTTATTCTTAAGTCCTTGTTATTGTTGTATGTACACCTCTATGTTTCAATAACATAAAAGGTTTGTCTAGAGTTGAGTGGTAGTATTCAGCATTGATTGTTGAGTTGTAATCTCTAATCACAAACTGTGTGATTGAGATGAAAGTGAATATGCTCTCATATTTAAAGGGAGTCATAAATAGAAAGTTATTGGATAGTATTAGGAAGATGTATTGAACAACATAAAATTTGTTGTTTTTTGTAAGAATAATTTTACTAATATATTAATAGTGGATTTCTTTTCTTAAGTTGTGGTTCGCTCTCCAAACATAAACGTGATTTCACCGAATTAAGTAAGCAACTATCGTAATATTTACTGCTTTTCTTATCCTTCATTTACTACTTATCATTATAGTATTTTTGATTTAACTTTTCGAATTAATGGTCTAAAATATTGTATTCAACATGTATCCCTTAAAAAAACAGAATTTCATACTACATTATATCTTTAGATCATGGAAATATATTAACTGTGACATTGTATAATAATAATTCTATTATAAAACAATATAATATATTACTTCTAAATCATCAATCATCGATGAAATAACTAAATCTTCATTTCTCTCTAAATTCTTAGGAGTGTTATCGGGCCTCAAAATCTGAGAAAATCTCACTTAACACTTTTACACAAATAAAAATATGTGAATGACTTTTTTATTTTAATTTCCAAATAGTAATATTCAATGGATTTCTGTTTGTTAAATAGTTCTACAAGTCTAGTAGAAAAGTAATATGTCTATTCAATAATTTGCGTATGACAAATGATAATATAAAATAAGATAAACTTTATTTTAATAGGAAAAAAATAATTACCATAATATTTGATCTCCATGCACGCCATTTCTCAAGTATAGCATAATGTCAAATTTAAATCTCAATATAGCAAGGTCTAACATCATACTAGTGTAGTAGTAGTTGCTACAAAAATAAAAAATTAAAATTTCTGTTAGGGTTAATTTGGTCATAGAACAATAATCTGTAGTGAAGTATTCTCATGAATAACGAACCAGTTACTTTTTTTTATTTTAAAATAAATAGTTACTTTACACATGCAAATAAAATAAAATAAATATAAAGTGGAGTGAGTCCCGACAAGAAAATAGCAGTTTCCCATTCCAGTCCTCATTATCGTTCATTAATGCAATGCACAGAGAAAGAGGGAAAAAGAAAGATTAAAAATAAAGTAGAATTTAATAGGGGCATGCTTGTGAAAAAAGTTTTATGCATTCTTTTACATTAATTATATTTAAATTATTTATTACTGGTAAAAAATTATTGCTGCAAAGTGGTAATCAGATTCTCTATATTCGTAAATATGTCGCATTCATGCATTAAATATATTCATATTAGTTGAATTAAAATCAAATGATCATAAATTTTACTATATAGTTTTTTATTTTATTTTAAAAATAAAAATAAAAATAAAAAATAAAAAATATGAATTGTTAGTATTAAAAAATAAAATTTTGTGTTGATTTTTTTTTTTAATTTAAGGCATGAGTTTTAATATAATATTTTTTTTTTATAAATTAAATTAAAGTTTTGATCCTCCAATTTAATTCAATTTACTAAATTAACTTCTATATTTTAAATTAAAATAATGTTGTTCTTCCACTCATTTTTTCATAAAACGTTGATGAAAGATTATTTTTTTAAAATTTATATTTTTATTTATAATGTTTTAGAACAAATTTAATACAATAATTTATTATATTTTACAATGTTTCTAATTAAAAAATAAAAAAAATTAAAATTGTTTAAATTTAAAATATGATAAACTAAAATCATTTAAAACACATGTGAATCAATTAAAAGTAGATAAACTAAAATTATAATTAAACCATTTTTATCTTTAATATATAAATTTTTGCTCTTAAAACACATGTGATTTGTACTATCTTTATAGTTCATAATAAATAAATAAAATATTTAAAGAAAGAAAAAAACACAGAAATTTAAAAAAAATTAAAAACATTTAATGATAATTATATTTTAATCGTGGCGAGATATTCTGTCTACTTTTTACTTACTTATTTCGTTTTTCAAATAGAAAAAAAATTCAATTTATTCTTAATTGTGATGGGTTGATTTTGTGTAATTTTATTTTTGTAAATGATATATCAAAATTAAATATATTATATACCCATATCTTATTATTAAATATATTCTATAAATATTTAAAAAATATAATAAAGTTTAATTTTAATGGTATAAAAAGTTTTCTATTAAGAATTTAATTCATAAATTAAATTAAATTTAACCTATTAAATATATTTATAAACTCACGCTATATATAAATTTATTAAGAATTTGATTTGATTTTTTTTGTTTGTTTTTTTTAACTTTAAAGTTAAAAAGAGAAAGAGGCTACACTTACCTTCTCCCCTACAACTATACTCCTTCTGTGTGGCGCCATTTGAAAACTCAACTTTGTTCAAATCACTCTTCATTTTTTTTTCTTTCTTTCTAGTTTCTAGAAAAAAACATAAACACAAGACAAAAACAAAAAACTCTTCATCATGGAACAAACCATGAACAACAACAATAGTGTTTCTTCACCACCTCAGCAAGTAGTACTCACAAACCCATTACCTCAAATCATGAACATGAATGTCGGAAACAGTGTTAGTGGTGTTAATACTACTGGAACATCAATGGTGGTTTCTACAGTAGCAGTGGCAACAACGACGACAACGACGGCGACGACGCCGGGAAGCAGTGGTGGAGTAAGCTTTGATTTGTTTGGGAAGAAGAAAAGAGGTAGACCGAGAAAATATGATGCGGATGGAAACCTAAATCCTAACTACAAGAAGATTGAAAAAACACCAACAACAACAACACCGTTGTTACCACCACCACCTGGATTCACTTTGTCTTCAAATGAGTTTTCCTCCAAAAAGGGCCGTGGGAAACCAACTGGGTTTGGAAATTACCAAATCGTTTCTTCTTTTGGTGAGTTTTGGAATCTTAAAGTTTTGAACTTTATTCAGAATGTTTTAATGGGTATTTTTTGGTTCATGAGGTTTTTGAAGCTGAATGCAAATTAGTTATGGTTTTCTTATTTAGGCTAGTGAAAAAGTCAGAAACTTTACTTTCTGTATGCATTTGTTTTTTATGACTTAAAATATGTATTAGTACTTTGGTTTCTAGTTTTTGATTTTTCTGTTGATGGAATCTGATTTTTGTGTCTGTAATTTTTTAAGGTGAAGTGTTTGCAAGCACAGCTGCTGTGGATTTTACACCGCATGTGGTTACAGTTTATACAGGAGAGGTAATATAGTGAGCATTATCATTGTTTAGTTCTTTTGTGTGATGTAATGTAATTTACTGAGAAGTTTTAACAGATCTATTTGGTGAGGTATGTGATATTGTTTTGTCACTTTGTAGGATGTTGGTGGGAAGATCTTGTCATTTGCGCAGAAGAGTCCAAGAGCTATATGCATTCTTTCTGCCAATGGAGCTATCTCTAAAGTCACACTACGTCAACTTGGTTCTTCCGGTGGTGGTATTTTGACTTATGAGGTGTGTTCTTTTAAATCTAGACTCTCTCAAGTGTTCTCTATTTTTCTCTCGCTTTTACCTTCGTGATTGAATTGATCCATTTGAGTTTATGTAGAGACAAAAGCGCTTTCAAGGGTATATGAATATAAGTTTGTGAGATGTTTTCATGTTATTTCCTTAAAAACTCTCTTGAAAAGCTTATAAAAACTTATAACTTATGAAAATAGTTTAGATTATATGAAGGGGTAGACAAAGTTTTTTTCTTCTATATACTAGCTCAAGAATTGTTTATTCCATCGCAAAATTTGCTATAGCGATTGAGATCTAACAATGGTAAATGAGAAATAGTAATACTGTGTAGTACAAACACTTTATTTTAAAGGTATTTTCTGGCCCGACACTGACACATGTGGTTACATACAATTCGTGCGTTTCATAGAAAATATGTTAATTCTAAGAAATGGTAAAGCTTATCTGAGACATTGTCCACCACTTAAATGTAGTAAAATTTTCCATGTAATGGAGCAGGGAAATGCATGAAGACATTATTTTTACACACATGCAATTATAGTTGTAATTGATATATTTAGTTCTTGAACTGTTGAACATTTTTGGGTGCTATTTATTTTCAGGGTCGGTTTGAGATTTTATCTTTGTCTGGATCATATACGGTCTCAGACACTAGCGGCATAAGAACTCGCGATGGTGGGTTGAGTGTCTCACTTGCTGGTCCTGATGGCCGGGTGATTGGAGGTTCTGTTGCTGGTCTCCTTACAGCTGCTGGTCCTATCCAAGTAAGATATTCTCTTCATTTCTTTCTGAAGGATTTACTTATAACTATCGGTTTGGTATCAGATGAAAACTTTATCAATCACTTTTTTATACAACTTGACTTATAAGATTTAACTTCAAGTCGCAACTAGTGAAGTGAGTTTTGAAGATAGAACTGCATAACACGATAGAGTATTGAAGTTAGAAATACTAGGATTGTTAGCACCTAGCGGATTCGAATCTCAGACATTGAGAGGAGCACAGTCTTAGGACCCACGTCTTCACCAACATGTCAACTCTAGTATCTGATTGAGACTTAGCTGATCATTTGAATAGCTGAAATATAAGAATAAGTAACTTGATTGATAATCTTCGTAAAACATTATTTATTTCAGATTGTAGTAGGAAGTTTCACGCCAGATGGCAACAACAAGACGCATAAAAAGAAGTACCAACGGGAACAAATGGCGTCGTCTCCAACTTCAACTGGTCCAGAACTAGTGACAGCAGCAAGACCTATCTCACAAGCAGCAAATGCTCATGGTGAAAACTTTATGATACCGATTTTGTCTCAGTTACCTGATCATCAAAACCAGAGAGAATCCGTCAGTGTTTCAAGCGATAAACTGAACTTAGATGACACACCTGATGCTGCTACATGGACCGGTTCCGATGAATATTCAGATCAAAGAACATCTCCAGATATCAACATTTCTTTGCCTGATGAATAGAAAAGGTTTTGCTACCTTCTTTCATGTCAACATTAGTGTCTGATCAATAAGTCATATACATTAATTATTCAATAAATTTATAAAAATAACTATCTCTTACTTTTTTTGTTGTGAATTCAGGTGATGGAGAAGCTGACATTGGTAACCGAATGAAACTAACAATGGGAGTTTGTGATGACAACTAGGCTATTTGACACAATGTACAGTTGTCAGAAATTAGAAAGTATTGTTGTTATTATTATTATGGGCTTATATTTTTTTTGATCTTACAATTTGTGTTGAAAACTTGCAAGTTTTCAAAACTTTCAAGTTTTTGTCTCTTTGTTTTTTTCTAGAGTTGGGATTTACTAGCTAGCTAGGTGGATGGGATTAGTATGAAAGACATTTTAAGCTATTTTGTTTGGATTGTATTAATCAAATTTATTATTATTGTTACTATTAAATTTGGTGTCCAAGAAGATTAAAAGTATGATAACACACAAAAATGAAAAAGTGTGTCGACAGTTTTTCAAATAGGTCGGTCAATGTTTTTTTGAGACATGTACTGTGCATCAAAATCGGTAGCTAGCAGCCTGACACATAAAGGACGCTAAACATTACCAATAGGCCAATTATTTGGTTGTCATATTATTTCTCACTAATTTAAAAAAATCAAAAGAAAAACTTTATGCTACTACTTACTCTTTAATTTAGTATAATTTAACTTAATATGTTGTGAAAGTAAGTAAGTGTTTTAATTTATTATATTAAGTTAAAGATGATACAATACCTTAGGGTCATTAGTTTGAAACTAATTCAATCATATGGTTAGAATGAAATTATAATAATTTGACTAATGATTTAAAACCTTTTTATTATTAAGTAGATGACTTAATTGATTTTTAAAACTTGATTATAAAATAATTGTTCATAAGTTTTAGCATATGCTTAAATTTGCTACAAGATTTCAAAAAATTAGTTTTTATATTTATGGGAATGGTTCATGATATCCTATAGATTACTCAGAATTTGAATTTTAAAATTTGGACACATTCAATATACAACAAACTCTATTCAAAGTTCACTAAATTAAAGAGATAAAAAGTCTGAATTTTGAACTCCGACTTAAGAACTTATGTATATTAAAATTCGGACGCACATCAACATAATAATACCAAATTCAATCTCAGAATCACGCAAAATCAAAGTTATAGGGGTTGTCCAAATTCCAAACAATATAGCTCCTAAGTTTTAGAAGTGGGATATAGAAGATTCCGCCATCATTGCATGGTTATGGCGTTTAATGATTTCTGAAATTAGTGACTCGTGCATGTTCCTAAGTATGACAAAGGAGATTTGGAAAACATTAGAAGAAACTTATTCTAAAATGAAAGATATTTCCCGAATATATGATGGGAAGGTGAAAACACTAGCGGCTAAACATGTAATGATGATATTATTGGTGTACGTAGATGATATTATAGTCACGGGAAATGATGAGGAAGGACAACTTGAGCATAGGAATTTCAAATCAAGTTATAGGGTTTGTCCAAATTTCAAATCCGAACGTTTTCATTTGAGTATTCACGCTCAAACCTTTCTCTCTTCATTCCCTTTCATTTCTTTAAAGTTGTACACAAGTGAAAACATAACTCATTAGTGCTAGTCATGTTGTAACATTTTTCAATCTTTCTCACAACTTCTATTCTACTTTATTCAAGCTTACTACATCTCTCAACTTCCACTCCATTACACTCAAGCCAATATCATTTATCTCTCATATTTTGATAAGTTTAATAACTTCTACCCCTCATACATTTCATTACTTCTTTTATATGCACATCATGCTGTTAGGCATGTTGCTGTTAGGCATGTGTGCGAGGGAGAAGTATCAATAATCATTAATTACTCTTTTAAACATTCATGTTAAAATAATTGAATTGTCTAACAATGATGTATATATTTTTATAATACCATGAGACGTTAAAATGTATAAACCATGGTAGGAACGTAGCAAAGTTGTTGCAACCTGATGAACCATGATTTCAGAATGTCTTGCAACTATTTGGGTTGAATGAATATGGTTATGTTAATCATGGTTTATTGCTTGCGTGTTTCAGAAAAAAATAGTTTTGAAAAACTTTTAGAATTAAAATAAGAGTTAGAAAATATTTTAGAATTATGTAGCGGAAAAATAAAAGAGAGAAGATAAATTGCAGAAATGTAAAAGTTAAGGGAATAGAGAAACACCGGAAGCTATAGAGGTTTGGTTGAAAAAGAAAAATATTCATTCCTCTCCCAAATAATTGATCTTGAGAGTATCCAATAAACTTAAGAGGTTTTAGTAAGTTAAACTCTCAAACCCCCTTATATAAGGAAAAATGAAGTTTATGGCTAACTTTCAACCAAACAACAAACACGAACCTATGAGATTTTTTTCACCAGGATGATCTTGAACTGAAACAAGCTTTTAATATCGGGATAAGCTTTAGCCTAAACTTGGTTTTATCACTGGCTAATCGAGAAACTATGAGATTTTACCACAGGCTAATCTCAAACCTAAGCAAGAGACTTGATCACAGAAATCCCAATCCTAAACTTTTTACGAGTTTACCTTCGAACCCAAACAAATAATTTATAAGTGGATAAAATGTTCTACCAAGATATAAATAAAAGTTCCTTAGTGAACTTACAAAACCACCCTTCCAGAATTACTGCTTCCTCACTCGCAAAATGACTTTCTCGAAAAGAATTTCAACTAAATTCTTAGTGAGAGAAAGTAAACAAAATAAATTTTAGAGTGAGTGAGAAGTGTGTTGCACCCCAAAATTTGCCCAACCTTTTTATTTAACTGGCTTTTGTTTCACTGCATTCATATAGCCTTAGCACTGCATTCATAGCATTAACATTTGTATATCATAGTCCATTTGCAGGGGATTGAGAGGGATGTGCTCATCAAGAAGAGGTTATCAAGGCCTAAGCCTAATCAAGAGGTTATATTCAAGCTATTCAAGGGCCTATCACCACCATAAGAGAGGTCAAAGAGCAGATGAATGTATGTGGTTCACCTCCTATCTTGGAGGCCATGAAAAGCTTAGCAGATGATGTTGAGTCCATGGATATGAATGTACAACATTATAGGAGCTCATCCATGTCATTATTTAAAGTGCAAGAGGCCAGTCAAAGTTGGTGCAACTAGGGTTTTCACCTGGTAAACCCTCAGTCAACTGTGAGTCTTAAGGAGATTAAGACTCAATTCCAAGCAACTATGATCATGGAATGTTGTGTTGAGACACTTAAGAGATTACTTCAAGATCAATTCATCAATATTCAAGAGTGTGAGAAGTTACTGAGCTAGGGTTTCTGAGCTTGACAGGGTAAGACCCCCTATTTCAGTGCCTAACTTCAAGACCACATAACTCAAGATACAAGTTTCATCTCATCTTGACATCCACATGATACTTATAGATCATGTTCTTAGCTTTCTTTTGAGTACTAGAAGTCCTTGATTGGATTTATAGAACTCAAGTTATGAAGCAGACAAGTTACAGGTCATCAGATGAATGTGATTTTGGTACTTGAAAGTCAACCAACTTCCATGCCACTTTTGAGCTAGAAGGATGTCTCTCCTCATCTTGACCCAAACATGAATGTTGTTCCTCAAGATCTTAGCTTTCCAAAGAGTACTATAAGTCCTCATTTGGATTTGTAGAACTCAAGATATGGAGCTTGCAAGGCAAGGGGATTTTGGAAAAGTAAGATTATAGGCCATTTTGGTTATAAGTCAATTTCACCACTTTGCATACCTCAAATGAAAATCTTGCCAACTTGAAAGTTGCTCAAAATGGTATCATTTGCTCAACCAAACATCAAGAGACCATTGACATGGCTTGGATTGGAGAATGGGTGAAGAAAATTTCATGAAAGGAAGCTTGAAAAGGGCTAGTTTGGATTTAATGCCAATTAAACCAATTCATGTCATATTTGTGCTTTTTTTTAGTCTAAATAATGTTTTAAGAACAATGGAAACATTAAAAATCAAGTTTGAATTCATTTCCATGGACAAATTCAAGGTTACTTCACTTTGAAGTAACATAATGTAAATCTACCATTGGTGCATTTCCAAGGCTTCAATCTCAGCCATACATATTCCTTACACCTCAAGAAAGTGAAATGGATAAATTTACAAGCTTGATGGCTCTGTTTTCACCATAACCTCAAAGCTTCAAACATGAAAATTTGGATTTTGCAATTGGACTCCATGGGCTTATATAGGGCCTGAAATGGATCAAAATCCATTGTATATAATATCTTTGATGATTCCTAACAGAAAAAACGGATTTTGAAGTCAATCATAACAGAAATCAGTTAGAAAAAAGTGGTGAAAAAAGGGAAAATCGAATTTGAGGATTGAACAGTTTTCAAGCCAAGTCAAGGATTGCAGAAGCTCCATTGATGATCAGTGAAGGATTCTGCACATTTTCCACAAGTTTGAGCTTCATCTGAAGGCCCATTGGAGGTGGTCCAATATGTAATTTATTTCTCACCAATACTCTCTGTTCTTGATGAAATCACGCGCCATTGTTGTAGATTTACAACCCCCTAGGTGCATAGAACAATTTAGGATAGTTTTGGTGAGCAATCGTGACATGACCTTTAATCTTGCAAGCTTTCATTTTAGGTGATTTAGGCTTCAAAAATGAAAATAAATGGTGGATTCATAATGTACGTGAAGTGTAGATCACTTTAGGCTAAAACATTACGAGTTTTGGTTCATTTTTGAGCTAGCTACAATGGCCGTGCGCAAGGAAGAAGACGACCAGAAATGCTCCGACCGCCGTCTGTAATCTTCACCACCGCCTGTGTTCATTTCCCTCCGTTTCATTTTAAAATCCCAGGCGTATCTATAACCATCAGATCATGTGACTAGTATGCAAGATGTGAGGCCGGGATGTGATCTGAGTGTTTGACTTACCCGTTTAATGAAACGGGACGTTTTGGCCCCCTCCCTCATGACCTTT